TGGCTATATCAGGAAGTAGTAATACCGTCAGTGGTTCTCACCTGCCTAGTATAAAGGAGCTATCAGGGTCCCTCTTGCAGCGGCCCTGATCCCATTGCTAACAGGTTGGGTGCAGATCACGTTCACACTACAGGCCCAGGTCTCTACTTAGAGAAAAGAAACCAAAGATGCTAATCAACCGCATGGCCTCGGCACTTCGCTCTGGTGCTTATCCAGTTGGTAACCTCGGCAACAGCCAGGAACCTTGCTCCCCATGAAGGTCACACCCACAATCGTGATAACGGGAGAGCTGGCACCTACTGAGCCTTATTGCCGTGCCAGGAACTATGCTTCTGGGCCTGCACCGCCTCATTTAATCTTCCCCAAACTAAGCAAGGTAGGAAGTGCCAGGAGCATCTCACAGGTGCAGAGACAGGGCCTAGGAAGCTAAAGTGTGGGCAAACCATAATTCATGTCGCAGGTTCTTAACACCTTTGCAATATTGCCTTCCCCAAGGTATTTTAAACTGGGAGAATCTCAGCATTTCCAGAGTAACTTCCTCCTAACAACAGGAACTTCAGTCTGCAGAGGCCAAGATACTTGCTCAAGGCCACCCAGCAAGAGCTAGAACTGAAAGGGGAACCCTTGGGTGCTGACTCTCCTGTCAGAGTTATTGGGGCTGTAGGGGCCTCAGAGTCCATCAAGAGGGTCCCAGCTATATCACAGGGTGTGAGAGCCAGTCAGCCAAGGGGACAGTGAAACCTAAAACTGTAACTTCATTCAAGAGACAAAGATGTAGCCCCCTGCCTCCAGCTGCAGGCAGCAGTCTGCAGGAGAATATCCAGCCTACACTTCAAGGGGCACAACAGGGTCACTGGGTGAAACCACCATCAAAGAACAGCCAGGTAAAGGTAACTGTTTTGAGTCTCCCTGACCTCTGCCAACTCAGATATCTTTCACAAAGCCAGGGTGACGTGCACAATTAATGGGCCAGTCACCTCTTGAAGGAAGTGTGGATGACGGCCCTGTAGAAGCCAGGAAACAGAAGCCAACGCCTGCAATCTCTCTGCACCAGCCTCCTGCTAGTGTGCCTTTCTTCTCTATCAGTGTGCAGCCCCACCCTGCACAGTTACCACTTGCTAGCTCATATTTTCCAGTCTTGTCGGGGTCAGACATCTCAAAGATAAGTGTGGTTCGTGATTCCGTGCCACAAGAGAAACCACAGCCTCCTGTGTTGCCAGGTCAATGTTATGACCTGGGTGTTGGCCAGTGCTCAGGTTCCTTTCTTAGGTAGCATGGCTGGGTTGGAACCAGCCCTCAATCAGATGCCAATGGCTAACCAAGCTTTGCTTCAAACCAAGAACCTCAGAGCTCTCTCACTTATCATATATACCCAGCTCTAACTAGCTGAAGAGAAGGAGAATACATAGACTCAAGGGAAGGCCACTCAGCCTCAACAAGAGATGAAGGTGACACCATTGGAGAAGAGTTATGTGGTTCAGCCACTTTCCCACCATCAAACAAACAAGGAATGATAAGCAGGTGCCAGTGACAACAGAGCCTGGAGAAATGAATCTCACCCTGTGGGTTAGGGCTGTAGTCTATTTACAACTGTGGCCTGAGGGTGCCAATGCCTCAGCACCTTGTGGGGGTACCCCACTGGGGAGTACTTCTCCTCCTCACATCTCTCTCTGGTGAATGTGTAAGGGAGCTCTAGCAAATTTTTTAAAATAAAAAAGATTTTGAGTAAATTCATTCATGATCAATCTGTGTTACAACAGATGTTTGGGGCAGGGAGCCAGCCTCCCACACTTCAGCCCAAGGCATTCTCAAGCCCCCAAACCAGGCCATGAGCTGGCCAAATAAATGAACTTTAAGAAAAACACCAGGCACACTGAAGTTCCTGTCCAGAATGCTGAAAGGAGAGGGAGATAGAAAAGGCATTGTGGTGTAACTATGTCCCATGGTGGGGGGGGGGAGCTTCTTCTCTCTTCCTCTATCTCTCTTTTTATCTTTCTGAAGGGTGCCTGTACCTTCTGACAATTTTATTTTTTAATTTTAAAAAGTTGGGGCCAGCAGGTAAAACAGTGGTTAAGGCACTGGACTCCCACATGTCTGACTGTGGTTCGAGTCCTGGACCCACTGACTTGAAACTCACATTGGATGTATGTGCGTGGGCACCCAAAGTCCCAAGAAGAAAATGGAGGAGAAGGGATTGTGGCATGGCCAGTCACCCTGGGGTGATTTCTTGCTTTCTGTCATCTTTGTCTCTATTGTGGTCGTACACACCCTATAACAAAAATCTCTCTGAAAAACAAGAAAAAAGGGGAACCAGCAGTTAGCGTAATGGCTATGTCGCTGGACTCCCACGTAGTCGACCGTGGTTCGTGTCCCGGACCCGGTGGCTTAAAACTCATGCCAGGCGCATGTGCGTGTGTGCCCAAGATCCCGAGAGGAGAATGGAGGAGAAGGGATTGCGGCGTGACCATCCCCCTGGGGGGTGATTTCTCGCTTTCTGTCTCTATGTCTCTCTCTGTCTGTCTGGCGAGCGCACGCGCCCTACAGTGAAAATCTCTCAAAAAAAAAAAAAAAGAAAAAAAGAAAAAAGTTAAAGTTTCTTTCTTTAAAGAGATAGGCACTTCCAGCAGAGTTTTCAGGCCACAATCCACCCCTAGGCCTGGCTGGCCTGAATCACAGGCATGCATCCACATCCACACACTCAAAGAAGCCCTAGGACACGAACCCAGGACCTTTCCCATGTGGGTCCAGTTGCATTTCCAGTGTGCCACAACCTGGACAAAAATCCTTCTAAAATGGTCATGTGGAATCTGCATGTTCTCCTGACATTTACAGCTTATGAGCAGCAGAAGGGAGCTCTATTTGGAAGAGACCACAGAAAAGTCTCCTTTATACCACCAGTATCGACCATAGTCCCCATCACTACCAGCCTCAGAACAGGTACCAAAAAATTCTTCTCAAAATCACCTCCCTGAGACTGGTGGGTGGCGTACTGGTTAAGGCACTGGACTTTCACATGGTTCACCACGGTTTGAGTCCTGGAGCTGGCAGCTTGCTTTCTCACCCCACCCCCACCCCCACCCATCTCTCTCTGGTCAAATTTAATTCTTTTTAAAAAATCACCTTCTTTCCACTTAGAGTAAAACCATCAAGATCCTTCTGGAAATCTACATTCTGATTGCTCATAACCACATGTAATCTCCTTCTCTCTGACTGAGCCTCTCCAGGTTAAAGCCCTCCTCAGTCTAGTTTTCTTCGTATTTTGAGGTACAGGGATTGGTGTGTACATGGTACCAAAGGGGAGAACCTTAGAAGGTTCAGGAAGGACTTTGAAGGTTATCAGAGAGACTGTGCCTGCCTGCCAATGGGTTATACAGGTTCTGCTTAAAGCCCTCTGGTCATAAGAATTCCTCCCTCCAGCTACTTCAGGCCTCTCCAGAACAGCCTTGCCTCCCTGTCGCTCCAGGTCTATCAGTAGGACCAGAGACATCCCAGAATACCTGATGGGCTCAGACCTTGTGGTAAGTTAAAGACTTCGATCAGCTCCTCTGCTCCCCACTCTAGGTTCCTTGGCATTCCCAATGCCCGCTCACTGGTCAGGGCAAAACCCAATACTGAGTGCTGACTCTGCCTACCTTACAAATACACCAGTGTAATTAATACTCATAGCCACCCCGTGAGGCAGGGGGTCTCATGTGCGGTTTCACACCTGAGAAACGCTCTAAGAAGGTAAATAGCAGGTACAGCTGGTATGAGTGGGAGCTGGGGTACAAACCAGGTCTACCCCATTCAGAATCGGTGCCCTTAGCTACCACTCGATGCAGTCAGCACAGGGTCCCGTATGAGGGAGAAGTCCAGGATGTCAGAACCATCTCTGATAAATGGGGCCACCATCGCCACATCCAGGAGGACCACATCGGCCTACAGGGATAGACACTCAGATTCCATTTCCAAGTCAAGTGGGTCCACAGGAAAGCCCTTCCCAACAGGACCACTGACACTGTGGAGAGCCTACACAATAGGGCCCAGAGATGACACGAGCAGGCGCCGTGTCACATCATTTCCATCTATTAACTCCTCTGAGCCTCCCAACAGCCCGTGAGTAGGTACTGCTTTGACAGATGAGGAAACAGACCTGTGTTAGGCACACAACTTCCCCTTTCACACAGCTAACAAAAACGCTGGAGCTCCAACTTGAACTTCAGGGCGTAGAGCTCGAGTCCACGTGCTTAACCACGTCACTAACCTAGTGTTCGAATACCTGTCTTCCTGACTAGTCGGACACCCAACCCTTCCCTCTGTTGCCAGAGCTGGCCACAGAACCCCACACACACGGGCCTGCATGGGGGGGATGAGTCATTCACAGCCTCTGGACCATTCAAGGCTTCAGGCTCAAGGAGGTGGTGACTCAGCGCAGCTATCCCAGCCAAGGCTCCAGATTTCTTTGTCAAGTGTACAGATCTGTATATGCTAAATGTCTGTTTACTAGAGCAAAACAAAGAAATCAATGCAGGCAAACAAAATCTGTAGGAAACACATTGTTTCAGCCAGCCTCTGGGATGGCAAACAATAGAAGGGAAAAAGGCCACGCAGAGAACTCTATAAAGAGAAACCGCCTTGCAGTTCCCAGACCTGCAGACCCTCTGTTGTGCTGGCAGTTCAGGGGACGAAGGAGCCTCAGAAGAGGCCAGGCAAATATCAGACAGGGCCCATGGCCTCCAGGACACTTCTCTGAATGACCAGCATCCAAAGGGTGTAGAGGATATGGCTGTCCACGCGTGTCTAGAGCGAGTTTCCGGGGAACACGCCATCTCTCTCAGTGTAGACGGTGCCAGCGCCTCCCCAGGCCTTCGGTGCTATCTGGCATGTGAGCTTACGAAAGCACTGTCTGCTATTCAGTAACTTCTAGGCGGGTCCTGTGATTATTATTAACAAAGATAAGATTACGACTAATAATAACATTCGTGACATTTAAATGCATTTGTCCTATCAATTCAGCCTTGCTCTCTGAGGGAGGGTAGAGTTCAAATTCCACATTTGTGTTCCTCCAGAGGCCCAGCATGCCAATGCACTCAAACACAGATGAGATTTCCAGAGCTTTCTTAAGAACTGAGTGTTGTTGTTTTGTTTTTTTCCTTTGAACTGGTATGCCAAGCTCACTGCAGTTTGAGCTGCGAGAAAGGAAATGCCTGTTTTCCTTACGAAAGTCATACATAATTCTTGACTTCACACCTCTCAGAAGAAACTGCTGAAAATGTCCCAGAGAGCCCTCCCCACTCCCTCAACTCATCCCTCCATTCACCCAGCATTTGAGGGTCAGAAATTAAGCAAAGGCAGCTATGGGCAGCACGGATCAGGGCCAGTGCCCAGCAGCCTCTGGTCCAGTCAGAGAGGTGAGTGTGCAAGTATACCGATGAGTGTACAACGACAAGCTCTGCTGAACACTGGAAAGAAAGAAATGAACCGGAGACTGTGGGGAAGAATTCTGGGGCTGGGAAGGTCTGCAAAGGAGCCCAGTTACTTACTGAGGACAGCAAATAAGAGCCTTCCTGAGAAGATATCATTTGTGTCAAACCCTGAAGGTCAGTGAGAATCCAAAGGGTGAAGGGCAGAGAAGAGGAGAGGGGAGGCTCCAGGCAGAGGAAACAACATGGAGGAAGGCACATCCAAGGTCTCAAAGGAGGGCAAATGGCAGGAGCAGACAGGCAGGGGAGACAGGCGCGAGCAGCGGCAGAGCAGGCAGGGGCAGGGCCAGTAAGGCTGCCTCCCCGCAAGGTCGGTGTGGAGCTGGCTGACCTCTTCCAAGGCGGTTCTGAAGAAGAGGCTTGGACAGCAAATTCAGCAGCTCACGTCAGCCCTCACGTACCTCCGAGGAGTAAAGCACGTGAAGCTCCAAACAGGGCCTGTCCGGGGGAGCCCCAGCAGAGTGCATCCTCACTGCGCTCATCACTGGGCCGACATCACAGGTGCCATGCTCCCAAGGGCTCTCAGGAAATCCCGTCCATGGAGATGGGGGCTCCGGACACCCACTTATACCCATTCTGCTTTCTCACAGGAAACAGGCCACAACTATTGTCTATTGTTCTCCAGCAAGTCACCCCAATTGTCAGAGAAGAGGCCACATGCTTCGACAAGCAAGGAGAACATGCCGGGTCGTCAAACTTCCTGTGAAAAGTCCCTCTTTGTTTAGAAATGATGCCAGCCTGTTTCTATGTTTCTATTAGAGAACAAACAGAAAAGTTGCCCGGAAGACTCCAGAATGAGGTAAGAGAATTACAATCAGCTAGTAGCCAGGTTCTCAGTCTCCCCTGGGGAGGAGTCAGACATCATCCTCATCTGGGAGAGTGGCCTGCTGGGTCACAGGTACTGGGCTACAAAATGAGCCTACCCCCCTTGTTAGCCACTCTTAAACTGCCCCAGAAGTGATGCCAAAGCTCAGCAGACGATTGATGAATCCCACCTCTAGATCAAGGCCTGCAGACGGGGCTGGGATCACACTTCATAGGGACAAGAGAGCGCACACCCCTATCCATTATTCCACCTTGCCCCTATGTCCTGAGATGAGGATGACGATGATGACCACCCACAACTACTGCCACAACTACTATGACAATAGCGAATACTTGGTCAGCGTTTATTATACGCCATATGTTAATGATTTCAATCTCAACACCCCTATTATCATCTCCATTTTACAGATAAAAACAAGAGTCTCAGAGAAATTAAACAAATTCCCCAAGGTCACATCCTAATTGAATCCTAAAGGAGCCAGGATGCAAGCCCAGACACCCCGATCGTCTAACCACTAAATCACACCCCATCTTGTGCAATGAAAATTGCAGAAGGAGGGCAATCGTGGTGGGTCCACAGACATGAGGACCATCTGCTGAAACCAAGGCACAGCGCTGAGAGGAGGCAGAGAAGCTACATCGAGGCCTCCCCAACAGTGAACGCACTTCTCTACACAGAAAACATTACACCCAAAAACCAGAAAAACAGTGATGGGTTTTGTTTTTAAATCATCAAATTGTGTGTACTCAATTTAACACAAAGGTTGTTCTAAAGTTGAATCTGTTGGTTCAATTTTCCCATCTGCTGCATCAGAAGTAGATGAGAGGTAAATAACAGATACAGGGAATCTCCCCATCTGGGAGTGCACGTGGGGGTGTGGGGAGACCGGTGTCCAGAATGGGCACTGAGTTAGTGCCAATCATCTCCACTCTGTTCTTTGCTATTTAGGACATATCCTGCAGGTCCCCAACCCCAGGGCTCCAGAGGGGAGGCTCACTGGGGATCATACAAACAAGGGCGTTCCATCCTCCTCTTCCGGATACCTGCAGAAACCCAGTCTTCTTTCATTTTTCCCCTCAAGAGATCCCTTTTCCTATGAGGCAATGTCTGGGATGTTAGGTCTGGCTGGGCAGAGGAGGCAAGGTGGACCCATTTTCTGGTGCTTGGGCAGCAAGCCCTCCCTCCCAATTCCAGGTCCCCATTTGTATGGCTGAGCCTGGGTGAAGCTCCCAACTAAAACCACAGCTTTGAAAATGTCCCCAGAGGCCATCTGGGTCACAGGTACTGAGCTATCATCTACTCTGATATCTGCATTTCAAGAAGGACAACTTCTGCCCACAAGCAATTTGCTGCACTTACTTGCTATAGAGCCCAAGACTGGTCCACTGCTTTCTCTGTCTTTCTGCCAACCTCTTTAATGCCTGTATCAGGGCATGTGAGCTCTGCCTCCAGCCTCTAAGTCACCCCGGAGGGAAGGTTGTCCATCTCAGCATGGGAATCCCTGACTGGCCCTGGTCAGGAGCCTACAGTCTGATGCTCAGTTTATCCAGCCATTATGACTTAACTCCTAAACCGGAAACTGAAAGGAGGGGCCAACTGAGCCAGTGCCAAATAATAAAACACACCTCCCTACCCCACCAACTGGTCAAACCCAAACCTCGTGGGAAGTGTGCAGAAAAGGCCCTCTGGTTTCTTAACCAGGTAGCTAAAAAAAAAAAAAAAAAAAAAAAAAAAAAACCAAAAAGCCCCTTTTGGCCCCCTGTGGA